CACACACACGTAGACCGCGTCCGCGTCAACTGGAAGCTGACCGCCGTGTCCCACGACGCGGCCAGCGGCCTCTACACCCTCAGCTACGACACCCCCTCGGGCCCCGCGACCCTCCGTGCGCGCAGCGTCGCCATGACCATGCCCGCCTGGGCTCTGGCCGACCTCGTCAAGGCGCAGGCGCCCGGCGCAGCCGAGGCGCTGGGCGGGTTTGACTACCCACCCGTGGCGGCGGTGACGCTGGCCTACCCCGAGAGCTCCGTGCGGGACGACCGCAAGGCGGCGGACGGCAGCGTGCCCGGCTTCGGGCAGCTGCACCCCCGCACGCAGGTGCGCGGGGCGGGCCGCTGCTGTGGGGCCCCGCCGCGGCGGCGTGGGTGGCAAGGGTGCGAAAAGGCAGGGCCAGGAACCGCGCGTGCGGCCCCTTCAGGGCTGAAATGTGGCGGGCAGTCGGCCCGGGTGTGAGCCTGCGCCTGCCGGGGCGCGCCACGTCGCTGCAACGAGTGCTTGCTCCAGTTTCACCTGCCTCACCCTCCCCCCCCCCCAAAAAAACCCACCCGCCCACCATCAGGGCGTGACCACCCTGGGTACCATCTACAGCAGCAGCCTGTTCCCCGGCCGCTGCCCCTCGGGCGAGATCCTGCTGCTCAACTACATCGGCGGCGCCACCAACCGCGGCGTGAAGGACGCCACCACCGAGCAGCTGGCGGAGCAGGTGCGGCCGCGGCGCGGCGCACCCCTCACCCCGCACTGCCCATCATTTGGCATCCGCTGCATTCCTCACTGCCCCCGTCTTCTTTGCTGTCCACACCCCGACAACCATCCTCCTGCCATCCCCCCAAAAAAACAACAGGTGGACAAGGACGTGCGCAAGATGCTGCTCAAGCCCGACGCCCCCCCGCCCCGCATCGTGGGTGTGCGCGTGTGGCCGCGCGCCATCCCCCAGTTCAACGTGGGCCACCTCGACCAGCTGGACAAGGCCAAGCAGGTGGGCGCGGGGCTTGGCACAGGGCTGGCAGCGGTTGGAATTGGATGAGGACCCAAAGGCGGGGCGGAGGAGACTTTTTCCTCATAGCGGCAGATGTGTGGGGTGGCTTGGCCAGGCTGTCCTGTGGGAGGCTGTCCCAAGCCCGCAGCAGATGAAGCGTTTTCTGCACATAGCCAGGCCGCCGCTCGTTAGCACGGGCTGGCCCGCATCAGGGGTTTACGTTGCGTCTTTCTAATAGCCTGATCGCAGCCCTTGCTCTTGCCCCTGTCGTGGCGCCCTTCCATCCCTGGTATGCTCCCACCCTGACCTGTGTGTTGACTTGTCATTGCCGCCGCCCTGCCCTCTCCGCCTGCAGGCCATGGCGTCGGCGGGCCTGGGCGGCGTGCTGCTGGGCGGCAACTACGTCTCGGGGGTGGCCCTGGGCAAGTGCGTCGAGTACGGCTACGAGTTTGCCGAGCAGGTGGCCGGCTACGTCAAGGCACAGAAGGCGGCCGGCACCGCCGACACCCGGGAGCGCGTGGGCGCGGCCTGAGGCGGGGCGCGGCAAGCCGGCCCTGGGCGCTGCCCCGGCTGTGGAGGGGCGGTGCCTTTGTGCAGCTCTCAGTTGGTTGGTCTGCAGGAGTAGCTTGAATAATACAGTTTTGTTGCGATGGTTGTGCGTGGTGAGGGAAGGCCAAGTCTCGCTGTCGCGCATCGTGTGTCTTCTGCGGATCCTGCCGCGGGCACGTGGGCAGAGCCTTTTGTTTGACGCGCCCCTTGCGCGCACGTTAATGGTGGCGTTCACACCATCTGGGCTTGCCCTTTTGAAAGAGCGTTTGGAGTAACCCTTGGCACGCTCGGCCTGTGGTCGCCACCCTGAGCCCGCCCACCAGCAGCCCCCCATTCTGAGGTGTGGGGTTGGGACGCCCCAAGAACTGCGTTCAGCCGGACAGTGCAACGGATTTGCCCCATGAAGCGGAATCAGGAATCGAAGTATACCTCAACTACCTTGTCGCTGAGAATTACACATGACTTTCAGCAAAGGAAGGACTGATGATGGGCAGTGGCACGTCCAGGCTGGCAGTGCCGGTGTCCCTAGGCCTAGGCGGATGGTTGCCGAGGTGCGGGAGCAGTTGCTGGGCAGCACTGCTTATCATACCGGACCCCTCATGCACCTTTTGCCAGTAGCACGCCAGCTGTGACCACAAAAAAATGTAGAAAGCTCTTGTTACTCTGCCACATCAAGTCCGACTGACAGCTTGCCCCACCTTCCTGGCAGCCCACGCGCGTCTGGGAGACGACCGAAAATGTGAGACGGGCTAGTGTCCGCGGTGACACTTATGTCGAACCAAACATTGTCTACCACACGCAATTCAAACAAATGATCGACTTTTGAGCAAGACTTGAGCTGAAACATCTGCCAGACAGCATCGACCTCGTTCCTCGATTCTTCCATTCTACTTGGGCTTTCCGTCTGCCTTTGAAACGAAACAATCTTACCATATCGTACGCGCCACCTAGCCTGTGAATCCAGCCTGCTTCCGATTTTTCTTCTGCAGCTCCTGCCGTGTCCCGTTTCTAGTGGACACGGCCCAGCGAACAGCACGCATACGATAGTTACGAGAGGTTTAGAGCGCCAATCTTGCTGTGCAGCGCTAGCCAGCAGCAGACAGCAGCAGGGAGGCACTACCTCCCCCCAGGTGCCAGCAAGGTTGTGCTGCTCACAGCGGGACGTGCAAATCGTACAAGGAAAGATTGGCGTCAGAAAAATGAGCCTCAGCTCTGCCTCGACGCCCAGGGGCGCCGCCCCTCCAGCGGTTTTGCTGGCGGGCCGGCGCATGCCCCTGAAGGTGCTCGCCACGCAGACAATCCGCCGCGCGCCGCCGCAGCAGCCAGCTGGCGGCGCTGCCGCGGTCCCCGGCGGCGTGGTGACGCGCATGGCCCAGCTGGTGCGCGCCGTGTCGCAGCCGCGGCTCCGCCGCCCGCTCGACATGCCTGTTCGTGAGCCGGCTGCCGCCAGTCTGCGGCCGCTGACGCTGCCATGGCCCGGCAGGCGGCAGCAGGAGCAGGACCAGCAGCAGCGGGAGCAGCAGCAGCAGCAGTCAGGCGGCGCGGCGTCGGCGCCCTCAACCAGCGGCAGGGGTGATGCTCTGGGCGCGTTTGACGCTTGGTGGGCGGCCCTGCCGTCGCGGCACAAGGTGTTGGTTGGCGGCTTCCTGTCGTTCATCATCTGCAACATGGTGCGCGGGCCTCCGCAAATTCCTGGTGCTTCATGCACTCCATGACAGGCCCGTCGGAGATGTGGTCGGCAGCATGTGCACGCCGCATGCGCGGGCGCTGAGCGTCGCCCCTGGTGGCGGCCCGAGCACGCCAGCTCGGCGCCGGCAGATGCAGCGGCAGCGGCCCGCGCAGGCCTCGGCAGCTGCCGCCTCGCTGCCGCCATGCACCCACCTCCCATCAACCCACCCACCCGTGCATGCAAACTCCCTGGCGCTCCGCCTAGTCCTTGACGCCGCCCACTCCCCTTGACCCCAACCCGACCCTCAACTCCACCCCGCCAACAGGACAAGGTCAACATGAGTGTGGCCATCATCCCCATGGCCCAGGAGTTTGGCTGGAGCCCCTCAGTGGCCGGCCTGGTGCAGTCGTCCTTCTTCTGGGGCTACATTCTCAGCCAGCTGCCCGGCGGCTACCTCTCCAGCCGCCACGGCGGCCGCCGCACGCTGCCCGCGGGCGTCACCATGTTCTCGCTCGCCACCGCGGCGGTGCCGCTGCTGGCGGGCACGGTACCCGGCCTCTGCTTCTCCCGCGCCGCGGTCGGCCTCGGCGAGGCCATCGCGCCGAGCGCCGCCACCGACATGGTGGCGCGCATCGTGCCGCCGGAGGAGCGCTCGCGCGCGGTTTCGTTCGTGTTTGCTGGCCTCCACTTCGGCAGCATCGTCGGCCTCGTCGCGTCGCCGTGGCTGATCGCCAACGTGGGGTGGCCGTCCGTCTTCCTCTCGTTCGGCGTGGCCGGGCTGTTCTGGAGCTCGTGGTTTGAGGGCCTCATGGCTGACCTGGCGAAGGCCGACCCCGACATCGCCGCGGCGCTGACGTCGGACCGCCTCTCCGCGGCCCCCGGCGGCGCGGCGGCCGAGGAGGCGCTCGCCGGCGGCGGCGGCCACGGCGCGCACGCGGCGGGCCCGCTGTCGGGGCACGTGCCGTGGCGGGCGTTCCTGCGGTCGCGCGGCGTGCAGGCGCTGATGTACACACACTTCTGGTGAGGCGCCGCCCCTCTGGCTCCCGCCGCCTTGCCCGCTGCCCACCTCTCGGGTCCCCCCGCCTGAGCATCCTTCCCGACAGTATGAAGCCGGCCTGTCTCGCGGTCTGGAGCCCTGGCCCACCACGTTCCGTCCCATAATCCCCCGACACCCCACATCCACCACTTCCTCGGTGCAACCGCCCTCCAACCAACCTCGCCCCCACCATACCTCCATCCCCCCCGCCCAGCAACAACTGGTTCCACTACACCATGATGGCCTGGCTGCCCACCTACTTTGTCGACACCCTCAGCGTCGACCTCATGCACGCAGCACAGACCGCCCTCCTCCCGCCCCTCGCCGGTATCGCCGCCTCGGCCGTCGCCGGCCCCGCCTCCGACGCCCTCGTCGCGCGCGGCCTCCCCGTCTCGGCGGCCCGCAAGGGCGCGCAGTCGGTCGCCTTCCTCGTGCCGACCGCGTGCCTGCTCGCGGCGGCCGCGGGCGCGGGGGAGCTGCCGCCGGCGGCCAGCGTGGCGCTCATCACTGCGGCGCTGGGTGTCTCCAGCTTCAGCCTCGCGGGGCTCTACTGCACCCACCAGGACCTCTCTACCAAGTACAGCTCGGCGCTCCTCGGCCTTACCAACACCGCCGGCGCGGTGCCCGGCATCGTCGGCGTTGCCGCCACGGGCATGCTGTACGACGCGACAGGCAGCTGGCCGGCCGCCCTGTTCCTGCCAACGGCCTTCTTCCTGACCACGGGGGCTCTGGCCTACGTGTTTGCCGGCAGCAACGAGGCGGAGGACTTTGACGCGCCGGGGCTCGACGCGCCGTTCGGGTGGGAGGCGCACGCCCGGGGCGCCGCGGCGGCCGCGGCCGGGCGGCTCGGGCTCGCGGCGATCGCGGCGGCGG